TCACAAGCAGATGGGAGGCCACCACCAGTTGTCTGCATCTGGTAGGGCCAGTGATGTGAAGAAATTGAAGACAGTCTTTAAATTACGCCTGTGATTTACGATCTAACACTAAAGTGCTCTTTGAGACTCCAGATTAGCAAGAGTAGGAAAGAGGAGATTGGAACTGTGTCTGAAAGACTGGTAAAGATGGATGCACAAAGCCACAAACACACTGCAATGCAGGCCAGGACAATTAAACAGGAAATGAACTCTTATCTTGCAGTCAGGACTTAGGACCTAGTGCTGAACCTACCAACACATGGGGGAAAGTGGTGTGGGGGAGAAAAAGCTCTCACTGTTGAGCTGCAGAAGGCTGCAAACTGCCAGGGCTCCTCTGCTTTCATCTCCTCTCCAGCCTCCCCGGGCCAAGCAGGTGGTTCAGAGGCAAACACTTCCCTGCCTGGGCTGGCAGCTCTCCACCTCACCCTGGAAAAGAGACTTTTCCAAGCCTTTTTCAGAAAAACAAAATATACTCTGTAAAACAGAGATGCCAAGGCAGAGCTCAAGAGAAGAAGCAGCTTTTAACTTGCCTTTGCATTAAAATTCCACCTATAAACATAATTTGGATGGGCGAAAGGCAGTGTGAAGTATCTTGAGTATATAAAGAGGTGGACCCAGGAAATCTTAAAACAAGACTCACATAGATGACAGTAACTGTTAGCTGTTAAAATGCATGGTACACAACCACAGACCCTGGCTCTGAGCAATATCTTGGCATGTTAGACTCAGTACCAAATTGTATTGATTTTCCCACAAGATATAAGGTGCAATGAAGTAGAAACTTGGACCAGACGAGTATGTAGCGCCAGTGTGAGTGGATCTCTGTAATTACAGCTATTAACAGGGACAGAGAACACCAGGCCTTGGGGAAAATGTTTCCCAGTAACAGCCTGGAATTACAAGAGATGATGCCTCCAGGCTGCTTTCCTAAGGTACCTGGTATCTTCTGCCTGGTCCTCTTGGGGATGAAAGGAGGAGCTTCAGGCAAGCTGCTGGGGAAAGGTACAGCCTCTCCCATGACCCCACCAGTCCTGTCATCACACTACCACAGGTTGCAGCCATCTGCCAGATCTCTGCTGCAATAGCATAAGAAGGGACAAATTCAGATCTCACCGCTAAGCTGCAAGAGATGGAGCACCCAGTGCTAGAGCTAGGGGTGGTAGCCATGCATGAACAGGAACACCATCCTCCTCATTGTAGAGACAGCAAGTGGATGCAAACAAGCCAAGACTGGCCCAAAGCCATCAAATGGGTGGTAAAGCTGGGAACTAAATTCAGACAATGTGGCTTCCCATCTGGGGTCTTCACCTGAGAAAAAAAACCTTCCCAGTAGAGGTTATGGATGGGAAAGCTGTTGGTCTCCTGCTGGGCCTTTGTGTTGGGCTGTCAGAGCTGGCAGCTCACCCCCAGCCCAGCTTCCCTAGGCAGAGATGGTTGGGAAGGCAGGGTACATCAGACAGGAAAGCCCAGAGTGCTGTAAGAGCCACCCTGCTCTCCAATTATCCTGATGAAATCACAACTGGGTCATGGGCACAGGCGATTAATGCCCTGATGCACAGATAAACAAGGGGAGACACAGGTAGGGCTGGGAGCAGAGGGGCAGGCTGAGTGCTGCTCCCGTTTTCCTCACTCAAAGTCCAGCTACAAAACCAGGGGGGAAACCACTGGTATAAGGTGGCCTTGTACATCACTTGAGAAAAGGGCCAATCCCAACCTGAGCACCACTGATGCATACTGGACCAAAAAAGGACCCCACAGTCAAGAAATGCACTCTCCCTACGAGATTTCTGTTCTCCTCTCCTTCCCCATCCTTCCCTATTCCTCCCAAACAACCACTGACAAGGAAAAATTAGGAAGCTGGTTTCAGGAAATGCATCCAAGCCATTTTCACTGAGAAGAATTTGCAATGGAAATAGGTCTGGCTGTTCTGCTTCCTGCTTGCTTTAAATCCTAACACACGTATTTTCACAGCAAATACATGGATAAGAAAACAGGGTAGTTGCAGCTGGGAAGTTTCAAGAATTGTTTTGGTAAAGCTTTTAAATCTGTTTTGGTTTTAGTTGTGTTGGTTTTTTAGGTTTTATTTTAACATTTAATGGACAAGACACTTTTTTTAAAAGGCCACGTTTTGGAGAAAAATGACATTACAAGAGAATTGGTATGCTCCAGTCTCCAGGAATAAAATGCTGTGTGCAGCACATACCCTATTGCACTACAGCTCCTGCAGCAGAAAGGTCCAGACAGCAATCCAGTGGCATTGAGTTTGTGTCAAAAAAAGGTGGAAGTTGTTGGCCAGCAGGAAAAAAGCAGATGAATGGGTATCTTGGGACAGCAGGAGCCCAATCTGCTCCTGCCCATGTGGCACTCACCCTCTGGATGGCTAACCACTTTCCACAGAGAAATAGGGTCTTCTTGTCTGGGAATGGCTCAAGTACCCCTGGAAGAAGAAAGAGAGAGTAGAAGTGAGAGGGATTTCTCTCTGCAGGGACAGCCAGCCCTGGCTGTGTTGAACTCAGACAGGCATGTCTCAGGGTATGCTTTCGTTAGTACATCAGTTGGCTCCCACAGCTTCCCTAGACAGCACTCAGGATCTTATACTGGAAGGGGAAAAGCAGAGTCGAATCCCATCTGTCTTCTCTCACATGTGGGCCCACAGGCCACTAATCATATCTTGCAAAGCTTTTCCACGGAAAGGTGGTACTGCATTTTTCTTCCTCTTTGTTTTTCACAAGTGCAACAGCATCACATCCACAGGCTAGTTGTGGGTGAGGAACAGTTCATCTTGGGATGAGGGATCAAGACTGAGGTTCCTTCTTGCCCTTCCATTCCCAATGGGATACCAATAAAAAGCTGTTCATATGCTTCACTCAAAAACACAGCTCAGGAACAGCCAAGATCAGATACTTCCAGAGTGTCTTTTTATTAGTAAGCCTTTTAATTTACATGATCAAATATAACGATCATCCTCCTGCATTCATTTAGCCCTTGCAGTGCATTTGCAGGCACATACCCTTATTTACTAGCAGAGCAGGGGAAGAAGACACCACAGCAAAAAGCAAATCTGCAGGGCTCGCTTTAGCAAATCCAGGAGAAGAAGACAGGGAAAATGCAATAGAATACCAAGAGAAGGGGCATCCGAAGGAGCCAAAGACAAGGCAGCAACAGAAAAAGGAGATAAAATTAAGCCAGCAGGCACCTGCTGGTGAGACCCTGTCCCTGCTCTCCTTCCCACCAGGATACATGATTAGCAGGGTGACACAATGTGTAGCAAACATGAATATGCAGCAGTTATTATGCAGCAGATATTCAGGGGCATGCTGCTGATTTACAGACCTGGCAGCTGCAGCACCAGCCAGCTGCAACCCAGAGGGCTGGGGACAGTGAGCAGGGCTGGCAGAGAGGGCTACAGAAGACCTCCAAACCCATGGTGAATGAATTCTTCACCACCAAGCCTGCAGCCATGCAGAGTCAACCAATGCATTGCGTGTGCAATACTGAGCAACTGTCACATACCACCAACGGAAACAGAGAGGTCCTAAGGTTAGGGTGTAATATTTAAGTTTGGATCAGCAGATTTTATTAAGTTAGGGTCCTGGATTACCCAAAACCTAACTTTGCTGCTCGTGGTAAATCTCAGCCACAACAGACTTGCTAATGTGATGCTCATATCCCCTCCCTCTGCAGCAGTCTGGATTGTAAAAAAAATCCAAGCAATGCTGCTGTGGATGAGTTATTTAAATGCCTCACTATTACAGCACAGACCTGCTACAAAAAAAGACTGAAGATGTATGGATTGCAGCTCTCCATACTTAAAAGCAAGGAATTTCCCTCTTTAGGCTCTGGAGCAACAAAGGAACACTGTCCAGGGACTCATCCTGCCTGTCTTGAAAGCATTACAGCATGGACACAGGAGACATGCTCCTTCAACTCCGAGTAGCCTCCACAGAGGTTCAAATATCCCACCCCTCAGGAACACAAGGCATAGCAGATCAAGGAAATCGTAACTCCACCCTGCAATGAACTACTCAGAACAATTAAGTGACTTGCTGATGGTCACACAGGAAACTTATGGTAAAGCTGGGGATTTCTGCTCCCCCACATTTGAGTTTTTGCCACAAGATTGCTCATCGGTGGCTGTGTCTGAGTGTGCAGGGGACGGGAGCACAACGCCTACTCCACCACCTCCGTCACAGCCTGCAGCATCTGCTGGCAGAGCTGCACAATCAGCAGAAGCCAGGGGGAGTTTCCTTCCGGAGCTTCCTTGGGAGTCCACAGCAACGACAGGCAGGATTTGGGTGGGCTCGCAGCCAGCATCTGCAGGTACACTAAGGCTGAAAACAAACCACACTGCAAGGCACTAAGCCTGTGTGAGATGTGGCTCCACTTCAACGCTGAAGCTCAACAAGCTAATTAACAAGTAAGCTAAGCCTCTGAGAGCAGGAGAGGTTTGAGGTCCCTCTGGTAGTGCCTACAGGTTAGGCGTATCTGCATCTTAGAATCGCTCAACTGAACTCCCTCAGACACTCTTAGCAGAGACAATGAGTAGATCCAGATGTGGCTTTAGCACTGCACTTGACATGGTCATAAATCTCCAGGCACTCTGCCCTACCTCTTTGACTCAACTCAGGTGTTCTACACAGATTAACAGCTGGAGAAAAGAACAACATAGGGCTCTGATCCTCACTTAGACCAGCATGACAGCACAGGCAAATGCTCCCTCCTGTCACATGAACCATATTTGCTGTTTGAAAGAGGTACAGATAGGAAGCACACCATGCCCTGAGCTTCAGGCATGACATCTTGCTGTGGAAAGAGTCAGAATGTCCATGAAGAGAATGGACAAAAACATGCAATGTAGCCTGAACACAATCCCCTAACTGCAAACAGAAAGAAAAAAATGTTCAAGTCTTTATAGAGAGAATGACTTCAGTAGGAGGCTAAGTCAGCCAGAGACCAGCACCTGCCCACAGTCAGCACTACCCTGGCAAGCACCTGGTGACCAGACACAGCTGGCTCTTACAGCATCCTGTTCTTAGCACCTGGTTTCTCCTGAGAGCACAGAAAGAAAGATACCACGCAAAGTACAACCCAAAACATCTGCAGCATGAGCTGGAAGTGTCACAGCTTGGGAAAAGTACAGTGGGACAACATGATCCCAGGTGCCCTTCTGCCCAAAGCATCCTTTGGTCCCGTATGGCCACGCACCACCACCACAGATCAACCTCAGCACAAAGTCCCCTGGCAAACCCCATGCAGCAGCAAGAAAACTCCATGCACACCGAGAAAAAGCAAACAAAAAAATACAAACAAAAAAGGGACTTTTGAACTTTGAACTGTAACACACTGTAATTACGGTAACGTAGCTTCATTAGGGCGGTGTAAGCAGTGGCCTGACATCAAATATGTTGCAGGGGATTCTCACACAGCCCACAGCCTTCTTTTACTCTTTTCAGTGGAAACCCCTTCTGGTCCCAGAGCAGGGTCTCATCCTGCTGGATGATCAGCAAACCAAAAAGAGGGCTTTTCCACCAAGGTCTTCTCTTTGGAGGATTTCTGTCTTTCTCACTCTGGTTGTTTCTGTTGTCCATGCAACACTCCAACCTTTATTTTCTGAAGCCACTGACTTCCCTAACACCTTGCAGCAATGAGATGCCCAAAGTATAAATATCACTTCATTTTGCATGTGTACATATGGCTTCCCATTTTCTTTCCTGGTGTCCAGCCATCTCCCACTAGCCTCTCAGACTTTCTGATCCTGCTGCCCAAGCACAACTCTGCAACGCTAGGGAAGTACATGTTGTTTCTTAAATGCCTATGCAAACACAGCAGCATTCACTGGATTTATTCTTGGACTTCATGAGGCTCATGCAAACAATTCTGTATTTAACTTGAAAAAAATAACCACAAAAGCCAAACTTAGAACTTCAAGGGTGACTTCTTCTGACAGCCCTAAGCCATTATCTGTGTGTAGGATGGACAAGGACCAAGTTTTTACAGTTTCCCAAAGGAAGGGAGGGGAAAACCCAAGCTAAGGTGTAAGAACGAAACACATGAGTCCCAAAACTGAGAACCCACCTTGAAGCATCACCTTAAGGAAAGGCTAAAAAGTAGTATCCTTGCACTGAAGCTACTAAAGCCAAGACAGCCAAAACTGGTTGATGACCTCATTTGGTCTATTTTAATTTCAACCTTAGCCCACTTGGTGCACTTATCCCTCTCTGCATCATCTTGAAACAGTAGGAATGTAGAATAACATTACCTGTGAAAGGAAGGGTTACAAATACACCTTCTCAGCCAGGGAGGCACAGAGAGTGCCTACAGAACGACTATAAAACTCAGACAACATAAAGCAGAAGGAAGGAGGTGGTTGAGTTGTTTCCTTCTCCCTGGAGATCTGGCTGCCATGAGGAGTTGCATATGGTGCTGGTGAGTGCTGGCACAGAGAACTCCTGGGACCAGCAGCTGAGCATCTTCCCAAGCCCCTCTGCTAAGAGGCTTTCCCGTACCACTGATTCCTAAGGGTACACAGAGACTCCCTAAGGAGTTTCTGCAACAGGAGTGACAAAAATAAGCCTGCACATGTAATACAGCAGTCTCTGGGTTCATCCAGCCTTGTGGAGGTACAGGCATCTGTTAGACAATGCCTGGGGACCACAGCAGAGGAACTGCTGCAGCAAAGATCAAGCTGACTCATAGTTCTTTGGCTTTGGTTTAAAACATAGTAAGTAAAACAAAACCTGAACCTCCCTTCAGCCCACTGGGAAAAATCCAAGCATCTGCCTTCAATTCCCCAGTGCATAATAATGCAACTTTAGTATTGTAAGTAGAATTGTTGTATTTTCTATATGCTGTTAGTGCGTGTGTGAAGAGATCTGTTACATGACCTACATCACACTGCAAATCACTGACTGCTGGGAGTATTGCACGCTATCACCTTTTGCCATCAGCCCCCAGCAAACGAGTCCTGGCCTTTTAGTCTGTTGGTCACCCCTGTGTTCAGCATCTGCCCTCACAAGCACCAGCAAAGATGCAAGAACTGAAGCTATGATACTTCAGCCATACTCTCTGGAAAAGGGGTTGAAAACTGGGACATAGAGATGGGATGTCCACCAAAAGAACACAGCTTGCTCAGACTGGTGGTTGCATCCCTTTTCACACCTTCAGGCTATTTTTTGGTCTGCTACTATAAATACAGACTGTAACAGCTATGAAGCCACTGTTCAAGTGGTAGGACACTGGTCCCTGTGCATGGTCTGAGGTTCCTCTCCAATTCTGCTCACCCATACCCACAAAATTTGCCCATGGTGCCTCTGGTTACCATACAAGACTGCAAGAGTGTTTGAGTAATGCCAAATGTCACAAGGCTGTTAGGGGGTTTATTTCTTCCCTCAGTTGTTTGGAAAAAGCAAGTAAGAAAATGGACAGGAGATATGAACCAGCA